TTAGGATAGAACAATATTTGGCTGAGATACAACTATTTGAAAATCTGGAATCTGAGGGTGCAAAAAAAATCGAAATATTGAGAAAATCTCCTTTAAAGTTGTCCAAATGAAGTTCAATGCATATTACTAATCAAAAATTAAGTTTTGATATATTTACAATGGGAAATTTACAAAATATCTTCATGGAACATCATCTTTACTTAATATCCTAATGATTTTTGGCATAAAAGAAAAATCAATAATTTTGACCCATACAATGTATTTTTGGCTATTGCTACAAATATATCCCAGCGACTTAAGAATGGTTTTGTGGTCCAGGGTCACATATTGCCCTAATGTGTGTATCTCTGAGCAGTTTAATGATTTAGCTATTTTAGTTAAGGAATATTTTAGTTTGGCTAGTGCCGAATCCTCCCTTCATGGATACCAAAGAATAGTTTCTCCTACCAGCACTTCAGTGTGTCCATGACCACACAGGCCATGCAAGACTTCCTTAATGTAATTCAAGGCAGACTTGATCATGGTGAGATTGGATCTTTGTGTGGACTGTCTGTCGTCAGACCCCTTGTGCATACAAAACCTTGCTGGATTATTTAAATTTATTGCAAAACAATTGTTTGGAAACGTGAATTAATATTTCCAACTGGCAGACTAAAGCAAAATATAGAAATAACATGTGTGAAGAATCTAGCGTGCCCAAGATGCACAGTATCGCGATGCACGGTATATGAACGGTATCAATCTTTGTATCAGTCAGAAAACCAATCACTCTTTTTTGGATTTACGCCTTGATCTAAAACAGCAACGCATTATGAATAATTTGCACATTTTAAAGAAGACGTAGAGAACTACAGTGAGGACAGTGATGAGAAAAGCGAACACATCCAGACAGTGGTACTGGTACCAGGTAAGGTTGTGGGCCTCGACACGCAGGTGTTTAGCGCCTTTATTGCGCATGACGAACTCAATCCAGAACACAGACTCATCCAAAGGCTTTACTGGTCTGTCATGATGAATCCTGGACAAACGCATAGCGTTCTCTTTATACCTGCGGAGATGAAGACAAATACTGTTATATGTCTGTGTATACTTTGCTGTTAATCTATCTAATGTTTCTGCATTGAATATTAATGAGCAGCACAGAACCTTCAAAATATCACTAAAGTCTTATCATAGTTGTACAATGAAAGTCATCTCACGAGGGATCATTAATGACAGCATTGAGTCCATCCACCAGGTCTTGAATCTGCATACTGTTGAAGTCAATGATAACAGCAGCACCTTTGGCCTTCATATGAACTAAATTATCAGGCTGGTCACCAAACAAGGGGATCCCGACCATTGGAACTCCATGATATATGGCCTCATATATGCCATTAGTGCCTCCATGAGTGATGAATGCTCTGGTTTTAGGGTGACCTGAATCAGGAAAGAAAACATGAATAGAGATTATGATTATTTTGTTTGGCACAAGGTAACCAGTAGGGGGCTACATAGTTTCATTTAAAAATGCCTGTACCATTAAACAAATGTAGTATAATTCAGTTAGCTATCAATATATGTCAGTTTATAGCTCTTGAAAAACATTGCATTTTTCTTAAACATAAATACACAATCACAAATTTTAATACAAACCCAATAAATCATTCTGAGGGATCCACTTATAGATTCTGGTGTTTTCACCAAGAGTATCTGGCTTCTCTCCACCATATCGCCATAAAACCTGCAAGCAAAACAAAACCCATTTATACAACCACATTAACAACTGATAAGTGTAGACTGAAAAAGAGATTAAAGAGCTGACCTACGAGGACTGAAAGCTTCTACTTTTCCTCTTTATCAAGAAGCAGGGTTGATAAAATATGGAAAGAATAGAAGAATGTGAGAATGGTAAATAACCTTCTGTGGAATCTGTGCCAGTGCAGAGGCGATCGTATTGCTCCTGTCTTTGGTCATGTTGTTTACCAAGGACCCCAGAGTGAAGACCACAATCCCATCATCCCCTGAACTCTGCACAAACTCCTCCATGTCCTACACAGAAAAAAAGGTGGTCAATAGGTTCTCTTTTTGCTGCAATTATTTAAATACCAAGTACTACCTATAGGCT